TCACACCCCACTCCTGACCCCATCTCTGGGCCTCTGCTCAATTTCCCTGGCCTCACCTGGGCTGCAACCTGACCACCCCTTGGCCTCATCCCTGCCTCATCCTGGGTCTCACCCCCTGGCCCTGCCATCCTGGGTCTCTCCACCACCCTTGGCATTTTCCCCTGGGTCTCATCCTGACCTCTGGATCTCAGCCCTGGTCATCCCCTGGATTATCCTGGGTCTCATCCCTGGGTCTCATGGCATTTCCTTCTGGCCCATCCTGAACTCTGGATCTCAGCCCTGGGCCCCATCCTGCATATCCTCTGCCATCCTGGGTCCACCCTGGTTTCATCTCTTGGGTCTCACCCTTGACATTTTCCCAGTCTCATCCTGAACCTCTGATCTCACCCCTGGCCCATCCCCTGGCATATCCCTGGGAATATCCTCTGGGTCTCATCCCTGGGTCTCACCCCTGGGTTTCATCTCCTGGGTCCCCACCTGGCATTTTCCTGGCCCTGCCTCCCTGGGCCTCACTCCCCCATCCTCTTGGTCCTCCCAGACTCCACCGAGCTCCTCACGGGCCTCACCCCCTGCCGCACCACCTGGGACTCACCCCAGCCTTACCTGGGTCTAATCCCCTGTCCACCTCTGGGTCTCATCCCCTGGGTCTCATCCCCTGTCTCACCCCTGGGCCTCATGCCCTGCCCACCCGGGCCTCATCCCCTGTCTCACTCCCTGGTCCACCTCTGGGTCCCCACCCTGGGTCTCATCCTGGTCTCACCCTGGGCCTCATGCCCTGGGTCTCACCCCAAGGGCCTCATCCCCCTGGCTCACCCCTGGCTTCATCCCCCTCCATCCCCGGGTCTCACCCCAAGGGCCCCCATCCCCTGGTCTCACTGGTTCACCCCTCTGGGTCTCATCCTGGGTCTCACCTCTGGGCCGCACCACCTGGGACTCCACCCCGGGCCTTACCCCCGGGTCTCAATCCCTGGGTCTCACCTGGGTCTCATCCCGGGTCCCCACCCCTGGGGTCCCCTGTCTCATCCCCTGGGTCCACCTCTTGGGTCTCATCCTGGGTCTCATCCTGGGTCTCACCCCCAGGTCTCATCCCTGGGTCCACCCCAGGCCTCACTGGGTCTCACCCCTGGGCTCCTGTCTCACCTCAGCCTCATCCCCTGTCTCATCCCTGGGTCTCACCTCTGCCTTACCTGGGTCCCCACCCCTGGCCCTATCCCCGGGTCCCTTGGGCCTCTGCCCCACCCCTGGGCCCCATCCTGGGTCCAACCCTGGGCCCCCAGTCACCCGGGTCTCACCCCAAGTGGGCTCATCCCCGGGTCCCCCCAGCCTCATCCCGGCCCCACCCCGGGCCTCTGTCTCACTCTGGGTCTCATCCCCTGTCTCATCCTGGCCCACCTCAGGCCTCATCCCCTGGGTCTCACCCCTGGGCCTCTGGGTTCACTCCCTTGGCTCATCCCCTGGGTCTCATCCCCTGGGTCTCACCCCAGGCCTCATCCTGGGTCTCACCAAGGCCCATCCTGGGTCTCACCCCCAGCCCCCTGGGCCCACCCCGGGCCCCACCCATCCACCCCAGGGTCCTCACCCCCTGGGTCCCCAACCCCTGGGCATCTGGGCCCCATCCCCTAGGGTCCCCATCCTGGGTCTCACCCCCAGGTCCCCTGTCCCTGGGTCTCACCCCTTGGCATCTGGGTCTCAACCCCCTAGGTCTCATCCCCCGGGGTTCACCTCCTAGGTCCTCCTGGTCTCACTCCCTGGGCCTCATCCCAGGCCTCATCCCCTGGGTCTCACCCCTGGGCCCCGTCCCTGGGTCCTCACCCCTGGCCCCATCCCCAGGTCTCATCCCCCTGTCCTCACCCTGGGCCCTCATCCCTGGTCTCATCCCCTGTCCATCCTGGGCCTCACCCCATGTCTCATCCCTGTCTCACCCTGGGTTCATCCCTGGGTCTCATCCCCTGTCTCACCCCCTGGCCTCATCCCCAGGTCCAACCCCCGTCCACCCCAGGTCCCCGTCCCCTGGGTCCCACCCCTGGGCCCCATCCCCAGGTCCTCATCCTGGGTCCACTCTGGGCCCCATCCCCAGGTCTCATCCCCTGGGTCTCACCTCCCTTGGGTTCCCTGGCCTCCATCCTGGGTCTCACCCCTGTCCACCCAGGTCCTCACTCCCCTGTCCTTGGGCCCCGGCCCCACCCCCTGCCTCATCCTGGGTCTCATCTCCGTCCCCATCCTGGGTCTCACCCCCACCATCCCTGGATCCTGGGTCCACTCTGGGCATTATGCCCTGCTCATCCCGCCCACCCCCTGGCTCATCCCCTGGGTCTCACCCCTGGCATTATTCCCTGGGTCTCACCCCTGGACCCTAATCCCCTGGGCTTCACCACCTGTGCATCACCACCAGGTTATCACCACTCCGGCACCACCTGGGCCCACCATCTTGGCACCACCACCAGTGCACTGGGCATCACCACCAGGTTATCACCACCATGCATCACCACCCAGGCATCACCACCTGTGCACGGCACCACCAGGTTATCACCACCTGGCATCACCACCTGGGCATCACCACCTGGGCCCACATCTGGCATCACCACCTGCATCACCACCTGTACATCACCACCTGGCATCACCACCTGGCTCACCATCTTGGCATCACCACCTGCACTGCATCACCACCAGGTTATCACCACCCATGCATCACCACCTGGGCCCCACCATCTGTGCTCACCCAGCACCACCCTGTACATCACCACCTGGCATCACCACCTGGGCCTCACACCAGCAGATCACCACCTGTGCATCACCACCAGAGCATCACCACCTGGGCCTCACCACCAGGCTATCACCCACCCACCACCTGCCTCACCACCAGATTATCACCACCAGGCCTCACCACCTGTGCACCACCTGGGCCTCACCACCTGTGCATCACCACCTGTGCATCACCTGGCCTCACCACCAGGTTATCACCACCTGCATCACCACTTGTGCATCACCACCTGTGCATCACCACCTGGCCTCACCACCAGATTATCACCACCTGGCATCACCACCTGCAATCACCACCTGGCCTCACCACCAGGTTATCACCACCTGTGCATCTCACCACCTGTACCACAAGGGCCTCACCACCTGTGCATCACCACCTGGCCCCACCACCAGCATCACCACCTGGCCTCACCACCAGATTATCACCACCTGGGCATCACCACCTGCATCACCACCTGGCATCACCACCTGCATCACCACCTGTGCATCACCACTCAGCATCACCACTGGCATCACCACCTGTGCATCACCACCTGTACCACCTGTGCACCACCTGGGCCCACCACCTGGCATCACCACCAGCATCACCACCCACCAGCATCACCTGGGCATCACCACCAAACCCATCACCACCTGGGTCTCACCACCTGTGCACCACCACCTGGCCTCACCACAGATTATCACCACCTGGGCATCATCACCACCTGGGCATCACCACCTGGGCATCACCACCTGTGCATCACCACCTGGGCATCACCACCTGGGCATCACCACCTGGGCATCACCACCTGTGCATCACCACCTGGGCCTCACCACCAGGTTGAAACTGGGAAAATTCTGACTCAAACCCAGAAACTGTGGTTTATATGTCATTCCCAGAACCTGTGATTCTCCCACTTTCCCAGAATCTGTAACTGTTCAAGTCCCCGCAGAACATAATATAGTTCTCCGGAGTCCGACAGAAGCTGTGAGTGAGGGCTAGTTACACCCTCACACCCTCACCCTCATCCTCACCCCTCACCCTCACCCGAACCCTCACCCCCACCCTCACCCGAACCCTCACCCTCACCCCCCCCACCTCACCCCTCACCTCACCCTCACCCCCACCCTCACCCTCACTCAGCAACGCCGAAGAGAAACAAAACTCCATACAGAAACCTCCCGTTACCATCAATGAACCTGAGGACCACGACGCTTCATCAATCGATTAAAGGTCACCCCCATCACGAGTCAGGGGTCAACAGCCGTGTCTGGTGCGTACCCTTAATCTAGGGTAGTCGTGACCACCCGCCCTGCTGGATACAGGGTCCGCCAGGGTCATTCAGGGCGACCAGGGGTAGGACCCAGCCAGACGGCCGGCCGGTCTACGACAACGAACTCTACTCCCACTACACCCCCTTTTTCGCTTTGTAGCGATGTGTGTGTGTGTGTGTTTGTGTGTGTGTGTGTGTGTGTGTGTGTGTGTGTGTGTGTGTGTGTGTGTGTGTGTGTGTGTGTGACACCAAATTTCTCGACAATTACCTGGAAGCTCTCACCGATTACCTGAACACATATCATCTTTTTGCTGCCCTATGTCCCACGCTCGGTCACTTTATGAGTAGTTAAACTCTTAATGAGTCGTTTAACTCCATTAATTATTGTAAGGGGATCGTGTGGTGATGACAAGATGCATAGACGAAGTGGTAGAGCGAGGGCCAGTGTCTTCCTCCAACAAAATAGCGTTATGGGAGAGATTTCAGTAGTTTCTCCTCCACTTTCTCAGGTCGGGGGTCACACTGGTCTACCACGATTACTGACCTGTGATAAATTGCATTTTATTATTCTCTCTCTCTCTAAAATAGACACTTGCATGTTCCTGAATTTTAGTACACGGGGAATTATACGACCACGAACAGACCTACACTACTATAATTCACGACACTACAACGACACTGTACTACACGACACTGCAACAAGACACTGTACTACACGACACTGCAACAAGATACTGTACTACACGACACTGCAACAAGATACTGTACTACACGACACTGCAACAAGACACTGTACTACACGACACTGCAACAAGACACTGTACTACACGACACTGCAACAAGACACTGTACTATATGACACTGCAACAAGACACTGTACTACACGACACTGTCCATATAATCACAGCCATAAGTTCAGAAAGGATCCCTTGGTCTATATTTTCTTACATTCATAATACAAAGCTGAGCTACACTCTATATTCAATTTCAATAATAACTTCAAATTACAAGTCTAGGGATGAAGCTATAGCTCTTGTGACTTGCGTGTACAGCTGCTGTAACCTCTTAAGTCATTCGGTTGGCGACGGAATGACTTGTGACCTTCATCTCCCCCCAGAGAGGCTACACAGGAATGACATCACTCCTAAACAATAAAGCACGTCACGCGATAACCAGGATTCACAATGGTTCGTACGATGTATATATCTCAAGTGACGATATAAGAACCCACACAAGTGCTAACCTAAACTAACGTACAAATAGCGTCCAGAAATAACATAAAGATTATGATACGTTCACTTTATATTATTATGGAATAAAATTAAGACAAAAAACTTATCTGAAATAATCTCTTCCATAACTTTATCTTGTTGCGGTTACTATATGAAGTTTCTTGCTGAAGCAGAACCTGAACATAATTTTGATGTTATTGTTGAATTTGTTTTAGTTTGTCACAGTCAGGTACATTCTTAAATACTCTTGTCATTAAAGGAACCTTACTGACCTCGACCCTAAGCTGGTGTGTTACTAATGTCTCAAATAAATAAGGTTAGGCGTGTTACAGAGAGCACGTTACGTGGCGAATAAAATTGTTCACAAATAACAACACTTACGTAGTACCTGAGAAGATTAAATGATGTCACTATAAAAATCACAAAACACGAAATACCTTTAAGGCTAACGGAGATCAAGTTAGTTTTAACTTTAACTTCCGTCAAAATATCACGATAACACAACAACATTGCAGAGAGCTACAGTATACTGGTGACTGGACCAGGTAGTATCACTTGCCTTGTCAGGGCTCAGACCCACGGTGTATCCGGCATCTTATTTTATGGAGGTCCACACAAGCTCACAGTGTTACTGATAAGAATTAGATATATTCCTCTGTGTGGTTTATTTTCCTCGTAAATGAATACATATTATTTATCTTTCTCACAAAAGGACAGTCGTTGAGAATTTTTAAGTGTTAATGACTAGTGTAAGAAGTAACCTACTTTACCGGTACAGTGCTGTACGTCCTTAACCTCAGTAGTAGTGTAACATTACACCAACCAACAGACAATTTTATTAATAATCTTCTGTAAAGTTTCTTGTGCTCTTACGTGCTGCGCTGTGATGACCGGAGGAATTTATACAAATAATAGAAGTGGTTAACTCGACTCAGTTGACCAACAAACATATACTGAAGCCCCGCCAGACACCCAGGCGCCGAATCTGTTACCGAGCTGACGCTCTCAGCTTCTTTAGTGTTACCAAGCTGACGCTCCCAACTCCTCTGGTGTTACCAAGCTGAAGCTCCCAGCAACTTAAGCTTTACCAAGCTGACGCTCCTAGCTCCTCTGATGTTACCAAGCTGATGTTCCCAGCTCCTCTGGTGTTGCCAAGCGGATGCTCCCAGCTTCTCTGCTGTTACCAAGCTGACGCTTCCAGCTTTTCTGGTATTACCAAGCTGACGCTCCCAGCTTCTTTGGTGTTACCAAGCTGACGCTTCCAGCTTCTCTGGTATTGCCAAGCTGACGCTCCCAGCTTCTTTGGTATTACCAAGCTGACGCTCTCAGCTTCTCTGATGTTACCAAGCTGATGCTCCCAGCTTCTCTGGTGTTACCAAGCTGTCGCTCCTAGCTTCTCTAGTGTTACCAAGCTGACGCTCAAAGCTTCTCTGGTGTTACAAAGCTGTCGCTCCCAGCTTCTCTGGTGTTACCAAGCTGTCGCTCCCAGCTTCTCTGGTGTTACCAAGCTGTCGCTCCCAGCTTCTCTGGTGTCACCAAGTTGTCGCTCCCAGCTTCTCTAGTGTTATCAAGCTGACGCTCCCAGCTTTTCTGGTGTTACCAAGCTGTCACTTCCAGCTTCTCTAATGTTACCAAGCTGACTCTCCCAGCGTCTCTGGTGTTACAAAGCTGTCGCTCCCAGCTTCTCTAGTGTTACCAAGCTGACGCTCCCAGCTTCTCCTGTGTTACAAAGCTGTCATCACTTCTCTAATGTTACCAGCTGACGCTCCCGCTTCTCTGGTGTTACCAAGCTGTCACTTCAGCTTCTCTAATGTTACCAAGCTGGCTTTCCCAGCGTCTCTGGTATTTACAAAGCTGTCGCTCTCAGCTTCTCTAGTGTTACCAAGCCCCGGCCCGCTCCCAGCTTCTCTGGTGTTACAAAGCTGTCGCTCCCAGCTTCTCTAATGTTACCAAGCTGACGCTCCCACTTCTCTGGTGTTACCAAGCTGTCGCTCCCAGCTTCTCTGCTGTTACCAAGCTGACGCTCCCCACTTCTCTGGTATTTACCAGCTGTCACTCCCAGCTTCTCTACTGTTCTAGCTGACGCTCCCCTTCTCCTGAGCGTACCAAGCTGTCGCTCCCAGCTTGTCTAGTGTTACCAAGCTGACGCTCCCCTTCTCTGAGACAGGTGTTACCAAACTGTCGCTGGCTTACTCTAATGTTGCAAGCTGACGCTCCCCGCTTCTCTGGTGTTACCAAGCTGACGCTCCCAGCTTCTCTGGTGTTACAAAGCTGTCGCTCCCAGCTTCTCTAATGTTACCAAGCTGACGCTCCCCGCTTCTCTGGTGTTACCAAGCTGTCGCTCCCAGCTTCTCTGGTGTTACCAAGCTGACGCTCCCAGCTTCTCTGGTGTTACAAAGCTGTCGCTCCCAGCTTCTCTAGTGTTACCAAGCTGAGGCTCCCAGCTTCTCTGGTGTTACAAAGCTGTCGCTCCCAGCTTCTCTAGTGTTACCAAGCTGTCGCTCCCAGCTTCTCTGGTGTTTCCAAGTTGTCGCTCCCAGCTTCTCTAGTGTTATCAAGCTGACGCTCTCAGCTTCTCTGGTGTTACCAAGCTGTCGCTCCCAGCTTCTCTAGTGTTACCAAGTTGACGCTCCCAGCTTCTCTGGTGTTACCAAGCTGATGCTCCCAGCTTCTCTGGTGTTACAAAGCTGTCGCTCCCAGCTTCTCTAATGTTACCAAGCTGACGCTCCCCGCTTCTCTGGTGTTACCAAGCTGAAGCTTCTCTGGTGTTACCAAGCTGTCGCTCCCAGCTTCTCTGGTGTTTCTCTGGGTTACCAAGCTGACGCTCCCAGCTTCTCTAGTGTTACCAAGCTGAGGCTCCCAGCTTCTCTGGTGTTACAAAGCTGTCGCTCCCAGCTTCTCTAGTGTTACCAAGCTGTCGCTCCCAGCTTCTCTGGTGTTTCCAAGTTGTCGCTCCCAGCTTCTCTAGTGTTATCAAGCTGACGCTCTCAGCTTCTCTGGTGTTACCAAGCTGTCGCTCCCAGCTTCTCTAGTGTTACCAAGCTGACGCTCCCAGCTTCTCTGGTGTTACCAAGCTGATGCTCCCAGCTTCTCTGGTGTTACCAAGCTGTCGCTCCTAGCTTCTCTAGTGTTACCAAGCTGATGCTCCCAGCTTCTCTGGTGTTACCAAGCTGTCGCTCCTAGCTTCTCTAGTGTTTCCAAGCTGACGCTCCTAGCTTCTCTAGTGTTACCAGCCTGGTCATTCAGTTATGAGGTAAAAATCTAATCAAGACATTATAGCCTCAGCGTAATTTGGGTTTTATATATTATGTCCCTTAGTGTTGTTTTCTATCCTAAAACAACAACTTGGGAACATTTGACAAAACTTTATGAATCTGAGCCAAGGGCCGAGAACAATTAATCGACAATTATTTGAAAGTCCCACTAGTTAAGCGACCAGAGACAGCATGTCTATGTCTCAGATGACTATTGAATAAGAAACTGCCACGTAGCCTTACTGATTTATCGTGTATATACTGTACACTAGACAAACTGAACTCGACCCTGAGTATAAGAAGGAATGTTGGTCATACCTCCACAACACCTCGTACGAGCAAGAGCGCCAGGCACCCACCCCGTGGCCACCTTATTCACTATTAACATGCTAAACATGTTTATGACAGATTTATGCCAACCCCCCCGCTGCCACAACATATCATCTTCACATTCTAATGAGCACAAATGAGCCGCATACCTGCCAGGACAAAACGCTTTGTTTCATGGCAAAATATAAATGGAATGTGGAGGCTCCCTGGCACGCGAGGGCAGGTATGCGTAGAACAAAACAATTGGATGGATTGATGGAGGCATTTGTGAGGTAAGATGACCTTCCCACTCCAGCCTCCATGACCGCTCTCACTTTATCCCCCACAAGACGTCTGGGGGACTCCATGGACATTATTGTGAGTCTTACTGCGTTTTTATTCTGTATTTTGGTACACCTATTTCAATGTCTTACATCCCTACATCCCCCCCCCCCCCATCACACACACATTGTGATACTTTGTTTTGAAAACGGCATAATCCTGGAGTAACGAAAGATGAGAGAAACAACCACGGAACATCACTACACCACAACACAAATCGAGTAACAACAGAACATTACGTTATACAGTGTAACGAAAAGATTCACCTCATGTTTACTGATCAATGTATAAAACATTAAACATCGCCTCAGTACCATACTGACACAAATATTACCACCTCAACAATGTCAACTTAGGGATTTTAAACACGTTAAGAAACACGTACGTTTCATGGTCACATGATAAAGATGCTGTAGTGCTGTCACTTATGGAACATACAGTACAGTACTGGCTGAAATATATTTTTTATTACGTAGAGGTCACAATATTGACATAAAGGAAGGAAAAACTCACAGTGTTATTTTTAGTGGGTGCTATTATCGACAGTAGACGACATATAACCAGTCAAAAGTAACCCTGGATCAACTCAAAGATAAGTTGTCCTCGCTGTCTCTTTTGCGATAAACAAATGAATTACTACAGTACGCTTTGGACCGTTTATTTAAATATGCTTTTCTTAAGCTCGCATTCGTTTTTTCCTTGTTATCACAGATTTGTATTCTTTCCTTCCAAACGATTCCGTCAAATAATTCGAGGCCTTAAGTATTCGCACATCGGTAGAGCCCATTATCGTAAATACTTCTCGAAGAAGGCCAGGAGAAACAGCATGGCTGAATGGCCTTGGGCATTACAGACACTGCCACCTCTGTACCGATTTGTGTAAAAGAATGGGATTTCATTGAAAGGCTATAATAAAAGGGACGCCCACGATAGCCAGCCGCTACAACAACAGGGGAAGAGAGGGAACTTAATAATATCTCTGTGATTAACCTGTCAGCTGGGAATAACTGCCAATTCGTCAACCATTCGTCATCCCGCCCTCAAGGGCCACAGGTGCCCTACACCAGTGCCACGGAGATAGCTCCGCCCATCTGTGAAAAAGTACCTAAAAAATCTTTGAGAGATTTTTATTGGACACTCCGAATATACTCCATACAGCTACAAGATAATGCTACTATGTAGAGTCAGTTTAGCTTAGCGTGTGGTGTGTCTTGGTCGGGTGTCTAGTGTTGGAAGACGGCAGCGGTGCATGAGAGGGTAATCAGGTGGGTATAAAGTGAAGCTTCCCACGATATATTTAGTTAGAAATAGGGTTAAGACATACAACCTCATTCGAGTATCACTTCTTTTGTTTGAACAAATTAAGAAACGTAGATTTCTCTTTAAATTTCCCTTAACTAATAGTAACAAGGAATTCCCAGTAATAGCTGGACGAGAACAGAGGTAAGCACTTGTTAAATAAATAAAGAAACAAGCAAATTCTCCTTAATTAATATAATATTCATACACACTAGTAAGTAAATAATCTATGTTACAAGGTTCCTGGATAAGTCTTGCTAAAAAAATACGGTTAACACTTTTATTGTGGAGAGCGATTAACCGAAGCAAGAGGTGACGCCAACACCCTCCAGATTATGAACTATTTTAAAGTGATATGTTTGTTTTCCTTAGGGGAGAGATATACAGTACAGGGTATGTTGTTCTTCCTGAGTTTCTAAATGTAAATTATCAACAGTTTATGGTAGTCTTCAAGTCTGAGCCAATGAACTTATATTGCATCGTATTACCTTCAGACCTCTATGAACAAATTATACAGCTATTTGTCTTCCTGAATCCATGAACTCATTATTTTCTTTCAAATTTTGATGGACCCCACAGTACTTACATTTATATGCCATGTATTTTTTTTTTAATTTTCTTTATGTAAAATTGAATCTCGTAAATTTACCTCATTATTTATTTATTTTTCTTTAGCGCAGAACTTGTATTGCAATAAAGACTTTATTTTCGGTAACATACTTTTTCTGCAGTGATGCTTTTATTGCACACAGACTTTCTTAATGGTGAAACTTTTTTGTGGCGAAACTTTCTTTACGGTGACAGACTTTCTACAATGACTTTACTGTGACAAAATTTCTCTACAGTGATAGACTTTTTCAACAATGACACTTTATAGTGACACTCTCTACAGTTCAGATTTACTCCACGGTGAAAAACTCCAGTGACAGTTTTCCTAGCGAGACTTCTCTTGCGACAGATATTGCTCAGTGCCAAACTTTTCCTGCGAAATCTTTCAGAAGCGGCGTACTTCCTCAACAGTGCCAGACTTTCAACTGCCAGATTTTCTCGTTATTATTATTTTTGTTTATATACTATTGTTGCTGTTGATATAAATACTGTATTATGCCTACATTATTACAAGTACTGTACAGTATATGTAAATTTAATATTGTTATTAGTGTTTGTAAGTAATGAATGTGGGTGCTGCATGTCTTACAGGGGTGGGCAAGCAGTGTTTGGAGGCGGCGGCGCTGGCAGGGGCCCGACAATGAGCGTGAGGATAGTGTGTGGCATGGTGGTGACGCTCCTAGCCTCGCCTGCCATCCGGGCCATCCCCTCACCCTCCAAATACGCCTCACCAACCCTCCCAATACCCACCACCTCCCCCAGGCCAGACAGGGCGGCTGGGCCAGACCCAACCACCACCGGCAGTAGTGGGCAGAGATTCTCGCAAGCACATTTCCAGTTCACTCTAGACCTGTACGGCGCCTTAGTCAACAAGTCCAGCCACCCCAACGCCAATGTGCTCTTCAGCCCCGTGGGTGTGGCGGCCGCACTGTCCCCGCTCCTCCACATCTCAGACGCTGATGTCACGCAACAGATCAGACAGGTATTTTTTTCTCTCTCTCTCTGACGTGTTTGTTCCCCCTGCGCAGTGTCTGTACCTGCCAGAATGTTTTTGATTGCTGTTAAATGAAGTTAAGATATTGGAATAAATTGGTGAATGTATAGTGAGGTCTATACGATTTTAAATGTGTTAGGAAAAAATTACCCACTATACAGTACCCTTGGATAGTTTAGCTACAGGAACGTAAAATGTTGAAAATAAAAAGTTTGATTTAACACTAAAAGTGAATAAGATTTTTTTTAGTGGTTTACAGGCTGTGAGGAAGAGGAGTGTAAAAATGCATTGTGAATAACTGGGTGAATGTAAACTCACCATTAATACTGGTTTTTCAACATATACATGCATCATCATTTTTCACTTTATGTATCCATCTCCAGTTCCCGACCAATTACATCCTTCACCGGGCCTTGCGGTGCCCACACCCCTCATCCTATTCATCCTTAATCAATCCTTCATCTCCTACTTCCCTCACCAGGTTCTACGGTATTCCAACATGACCACCGGGGAAATCGAGGAAGGTCACACAGCCATGATAGATAACTTAGCCGACGCCTACTACGACAAGGACTTGCGCCTCGCCTATACCCTCTTCGTGCAGCAGGGCTCCTCCTCGGCCCAGTCCACCTCTGGCCTCTATCCCGCTGGGAAGACTCGGGAGGTCGATTTCCATAACAACGGCACAGAGGTCCTGAGAGGCATTAACCAGTGAGTGGCAGGGAGGGGTGGAACTCAGGGGGTGACAGCAGCACTAGGCGTCTTATTCTTCCAATACGTTGTTTAATTCACGATATACTGTAAGTCATAAGGAGTCATTTGAATGTTCAGAGTTGGCGAAATACTTTTTTTAAACCTGTGTGTGTATAAATTAATATAGACGTTTATGGTGTGCACGCGGAACTAAAAATCAGTGGCATACTATATTTGAACCCTGAACTAATATGTAAAAGAATCAAGGTATTGAAATTATATATGGGTTTAGTTTTCACAAGAAGTTTAAATTCACCAACTTAATGTATCATTTTGGCATTGGTAATATCAATTTGTGTACGTGGTACAGGTGGGTGGCGCGGGAGACTGATGACCTGGTGGGGGCGCCTCTGGCTGAAGCCCCCACTGCTCAGATGGACGCTTTGGCCCTCGTGGTAGTTTACTTTTCTGGCCGATGGCTTCACAAGTTTGACCGTAACCTCACCTTTGACAAGGGTCTCTTCTTTATCACCTCCGAGGAAAGGTAAGATAATAAGTAATTTTTTATCATATTTTAATATTTCCCACATTTAGAACCAAGGGAGAGAATTATCGTATTCACACTTTATAATACACACTGCTTTGATAGTCAATTAATAATAAATGCAGCTACATGGACGGAGTTCCAACACAGGGCTCCGTCAATGCTTTTTCTGTCATCTTGGTCAATAACCCCACTTTTCCGCGCACGTAGCATAACATGAACCTAAATTTATCTAAACCTAACCACCAGTTTTGAAGGTTATATACGGTAGCTTTTTTCATTGATATGCAGTGAAATCGGACAAAAATGAAGATGGCAGGAAGAACTCCACTATGTTCTCTGAGTCTGGCAGTGATCATTTAGTGTGCTATAATATCATATTCTTTCTAGTTATATATTACCGACCCTCCTTAATATTCCGGAGTCTGCTTTGCTGTACCTATCAACACCACCATCACTTTCGACTATTAGACTAGTGAAATCTATCACGTACGCTGCGAGTCCAGTTCATAAGATACGTCAGAAACGTACATTTTCTTTCAGTAAGTATGACTGTCAAAGTTACATAACAGAGACGTATACGGACAAAGGATAGACGATAGGCCAATTACATGTACCACAACACTCGCTTAGGCAATGTAAGTTCACCAGCTACATGTGACCGCACGACAGTCACAGGCCCATCAGTCATCACCTTTCCTCTGGCAACATGTTAGCTAGCCTGATACCTAGAAGCCCTCAAACTTGAGTTCTCGGAACACTCCAGTAATAGGAAACTCAATTTCTAATAAAAAACAAATTCATCCTGACAATAATTTTCTCTCACATTAGCTTGATAAATCTTGATATTTCAAACTCTTCTGTTTAATTTACTAATAATTTTCGTAGACTTTCATTGTTGTTGTCGGTGAGAGCCTATCATCTAACAAGGGATGTTGGGAACATTTACAAATTATAAAAACAGAGCTTAGTATTATTACCAAGAACATATGTTTGGATTCAATTCAGCGTGAATGAGTGAAATTGCAGTGTCCGTGTCTGCATAGGCTTATCATTAGAATAAAAATTGTACATCTGTTGAAAAATGGAAGTACAAAAACTTGTGTAGTCGACAGGACAACCTAAAAACTGGCTTTGACACGTACAGTAGTTTTATCGTGCTCCGTACTCAAAATGATTTTTAGAAACAATATTAATGCCTAACATAATACATATGTCTACCATGTTACCTTGGAGTGTGGACATCACCAATCAATATTTCAGAAAGTAGTCGTGTAACGTGGACCTGACGACCTCGTTACATATCGAAATATTAAAATAAAATAAATAGATAAGTAAACAAAGTTTTCAACATTCCATTAGAATTTGAGTCACACCATCCTGTATCAGGTTTGAGATCCCTATGATGGTGGGACGCCTGGAGTTACCATTGGGATACTCGGCTGACCTGGAGGTGCGCATTCTGGAGCTGCCCTTCGTGGCCAGGCGGTTGTCTATGTTCATCTTGCTACCTGACCACCCTGACCACGGCCTCGCCAGCCTAGAGCGTAACATCACCTCAGACAACATCAAGGCCCTCTTTTCTACTTTGAAGGTAATATAAAGTTATTAGCAAATCTCGTTACAGTGTACTCCAGAAACTTTGGGAAATATTCAACTGCTTCAGCTGTACCGTCTACCAGAATAAACAGCACTATTTGATTTATGCCGGGTTGTGTTTACCTTGGAACTGTTTCCATAACTGCACAACACAATATGCTGAGTCGAGCTAAAAATGGATCTCGCAATGAAAGTTGAGGTAAACCTTTCATTGCTGCATTCGCTGAGCTGCCATAATTTATGTTGTATTCCTGTCATTATCATTTATTTTATTTATTACAATCAATATATATATATATATATATATATATATATATATACAGTATAATTTGAACATTTGTTACATATCACGTGTATAGCATATTTTGTCTTAAGAATGAAATACATCAACTATTCTTTAATTCGGTTTCCCTTATTTGTTTGCCCCTGATCCCCCAACACTAATATTTACAGATTTATGTCGAGATTTCGTGAATACCGCAATTCACCTCTGTCCTGTGTTAGTACTGAATTCTGTTCCACAGGACGAGCGAGTCAACTTGAGGGTGCCCAGATTCCGTGTGGACGTGGTGCCACCGCTGCAGGACGCTCTCGTGTCTTTGGGCTTGACATCCATCTTCCCTACCACTCTGGACACCCATCCCAGCCTCCTTTTACACGATGTCCTACACAGGTGAATCATTAAGTTGTGAATTCGTTAACTTGATTAAACTTTAATGTGTCATTTATGAATACTGATTCACTTACTTGTACACGCAAAAATTTACTCATCCGTGACTAGCGATTTGGCATCAGCATTCCACACCTTATTATTCTCCGGCAATCATCTGACATGTCTCTGAACATGACTGTGCCTCGTTAACTGAAAGCTGCAGTTAATCATCAAACTGTTTAGGTCTGTTTATATACTTGTCAGAAAAGACCAACTGTTGCACTACGCAAATTTTAGTGACAGAAAAAACACAAATTCATTACGCAGAGATGTTTTTCTACCTGTTTTACATAATTTTAACATGTATCTATACACATCCTTTAATGTAAACAATATAGATTTTTCACCCCGAAGAATGATCTAGTATTAAAGTTCTTCACAAATGATTGTTGCCCATACATTGCCAGAGTCCAATTTTAATTCTCGTAGTAAGAATACTTGAGAAGCTTCTTACTGTACTACCTTCTTTTATAAATGATGCACATATTTCTTCTTCTAAGTCTGAATCACAGAAATCATGTTCAGTCACCCCACTAACCCAACAACCCTTTACTTTACATATTTGATGGAAAAAATTACCAGCAATTATGTAGGTGATACCCAAGGTTTTATATTACTTTTCCATGTTAGCGGTCCGTGTGGCAGGGCTTGTATAGGGTGGGGCAGGATAGCCCTGACTAATTACTGAACCTTGTGTCAACAGGGCCGTGTGTGAGGTGGTGGAAGACGGGGAGGACTGGTCCCCCGCCCTGGCTTCTGGAGGGGACCAGGTGGGCACCTTCGGGGACAAATACTTCGAGGTGGACCACCCATTCATCTTCTTCCTGTGGGACTACATCGGCAGCAGTGTGTTGTTCATGGGTCGGGTAGTCACCCCAGATCCTATCATCCTCACCCCCCATAACTAAACACTAGATTTTCTTCACCTTACCTATTAATAATTGTCAGGTGCACAAGGCTCTCTCACAACGTAAACTCTCATGCATTCACTCTTCGCATAATATACTACATAGTATCTATACAATGTGTAGAAGATATAACAAGCCTGCACGCACATTTTATACAGCCTGGCTCCTGTAATAACTACTGACACCCAAGTCTCACCATGTGGGTGACATGTAGCCAGGCAGACAGCGGACATGATGGAGGCCAGAGGAGGACTTGGTCACAGGTCCTACCAAGATCACCACCACCACAACTCGCGATTTTTTTGGCATGTGTAACTGACCACAAGCATTGCTCCAGTGAAAATTGAAAAAAAAAGTTTATAAATATATATATATATATATATATATATATATATATATATATATATATATATATATATATATATATATATATATATATATATATATATATATATATATATATATATATATATATATATATATATATATATATATATATATATATATATATAACACCTGTTGTGTGCTGAGCTGCTTTAGTAATTGTGAGAGCGCAGACACGTGAGCCCACTTATCATTGTACATACATACACATCCTAGCTTGTGTTAACTAGTTGAAACACTCTCTATCAGATCGTAGAAAACGTAAGCAAAGGGGGAACTGTGATAGTGTGCTTGTCTTTGTCTGAATCTGATGCATCACTCAGGCTCTAAACACCCCTTGCTTTTCGCTGAAACCAGATTCTTCAACCATTTGTGTGCTTTATGAGGCTACTCTATATTCTAGAAACCATATTTAGCTTTTGCCCCTTGTTCCTGTGAGTTTGTTTGTATATCTGAGTGTCGCTGCGTGACTTGAAAGCTTAAATGTTATTCGCCAAAAGAACTTGAATTCGAGACAAGTTTTGGTGACGGTCATATTATTTACGTCTTGAGTTTCACTTGCTTAAAGTTGTTGATAAAAACTGCAGTTTGGAGCAGTCTATATAAATGAAATGTTTGAAACGAGTTTTGAGTGAGAAAACTGCATGACTAATCAAGGCCATTTGCAGCTGGAAAACATTCCAGAATACGTAAAGTTCAGAGACAGTCTAAGTGTTATAAATTTTTGGAAGTGTCTGAAAGTGCAGTAAAGTTAGAAATTAAACCCATTAATCGAAAGTAAATGAATTCAATGCATTTCTTTCGTTTTAGACTATTGTTCTGTACTGTACTGTACTGTACTCTTGAGAACATACACGCTTATTGCTTCCATGTTATAAAGGAAACATTGGTTCACTGGAAATAGTTAACTCACAACCGCAGAAAAAAAATCGATTTATTTGTATACAGTATGTTAATTAGTTTGGAGCAGGATTCAGCTGTCTTAGGAACCATCTTAAGTTTGGATAATTAATTATTTTCCATTAACCTCAATAACGATAACTTGCAAGAACAGTTTAAGTTTATCCCTTGTTTCAGGAATAGTTTGTCAGGTTCACTTTTTGTTACAGATTTCCGTTTATTCTATTCGTATATATCAGTGGAAGGTTTTGTCGTAATGCCACACGTAATATTTCAGACATCTATTATGTTGACTTCCATACAATTCAAACCATATTACGTTATATATTACAAAAGTGATTCCTTTTTCATTTCAGCCAGATTAGTTATTTTTTCGGCATATTTCTCTATCTCACGAAAAAGTATATCTCAGACAAATCCAACAGGTTTACCTTATAATTCAGATATACGTAAAATGTTTGACCGTGTTTTCATGAACATTTAATGAGGTTTGCCGTGTACAGTATTTCATGTACAGGAAAGTACTTCGAAAGCCGTCCGATGAATATCAGCCATCGTTCTATTAGAGTCTTTCCGTATATACTGTATATTTAGATTATGTTCTTGCATTTATAAACACAAAACATTGACATATTCTTTCCAGATATTTCAGATATGATGAATGATCTTATATAATCCATATCGCATAGAGAACTTCTCAAACTATATAGCAACAGATGTATTTTATTTGTCAACCCATGATTTATTGATGTTTTATTTGAAATAAAGAATATTCTATGAAACATTTTTGTTGTATGTTATGACCCCGATAAATTACTGTTTCAACAAAATAAATTTCATCCTTAATAATATTCTTTAATGTATTCAAAGTTCAAACACCTTATAAGTTAAGGGGTCACATCACGGATTCAAAGTGGGCACAATATTTCCGGAGCCTGTGTACTGTATGTACAGGAGGCGCTAATAGTGAGACTGTGGGACCCAACATCACTAGTGTTAACTGTGAACCTTTAAAGCGACCCCATAAGCAATGTACAAGAATAAACACGGGTTGACCCCAAGTGAGAGTTTTTGCACCAGGGGTCACCTTAAAGGTTCAAATCACACTTGTGTTTTTGGGTCCCACGGACACACTGTTTACGCCTCATGTACATACATAAGCTCCGGAAATAGTGTCGTGACGACTTTGAACCCTTAAAGTGACCTCTTGCTATTATTAGAACGAGAGAGAGAGAGAGAGAGAGAGGGGATCAGGTCATATTAGCACAGCACCCGTGTCTATATTTTCAACATACACGCTATAAACTTACCGCCAACCTGAAGGACGCGGCGCCACAGCAACGCACAACTGTTGCCATACACGAGAGAGAGGTGATGAAATAGAGAAAAAGTCAATGAGGATAACAGGAGATAGATGAGGAGAAAAGAGAAAGGTGGTAAGTTAAACAAATGTCAGAGGAGATAGGATACGAAGAGAAGATGAGGAGAGAGGAGGCAAGAGAGAGAAAGCAAAGGAAGGTGAGATGAGAGAAGGAGAGGGTAGAAAGAGGAGAGGGGACAAGAGACAGAAACCAAAGGAAAGGATGAGAAAGAGAGATTAAAAAGAGAGGGAGAAAGAAAAGGAAAGATGAAGGAAATAAGTGAGAGGAAGAGGAGATAAGAGATAAAGAGTGAAAAGCAGAAAACTCTCAGGTGTGTTTAGTGGACACAGTGGTGTAGTGAGGCTGTGAGGGGCCCTACAGGAGGAGCGAGGGGCCCCAAGCCCTACTGTACCACCAGCCCTTCCTCGAACTCCTCCTCCCTCTCCTCCCACTTCCTCCCCATCCCGCTCCTCCTCCTCCGCCTCCTCCCTGCCTGCCTACCTGCTGGGGGTATACTTGCATTACCTCCCTCCTGCTACACCTCTACCGTCGCCGTACTACGCTTCGGGAGCTGGACACGCACAAAGGTTGGGTCATCTGACGTCTAGTCCTGCGTCACCACAACACTGTTGAGTCAGAAATTCAGTCATATTAGTTCAGAAACAACAGTATAGGTTCTGATATAAGTTCAGTTACATGAACACTGTTAGTTCAGAAAAACATCGTATACATACAGGTGCAAGTACAGGTACAGGTATATTATTAATTCAAAATCAACAATATAGGTACACGTACAGAGATACTAGCCAGTGGTCGGAAGTGTCAACAATGTAGGAACAAGTACAAGTACAGATGTCTTATTAATGCAGTTCAAAAGAAACAATACAGATACAAAGTAATACAAGTAGAGGTACACACACACACACACACACACATATATATATTTATATATATATAATCAAGTCTGAAACAACACACAACTACAGATACATGTACGAGTAAATAAATTTCACCAAATCTGAAACATAAGTACAGGTGTAAATACTGTCAAATTATTTGAATAGTTCAGAAACAACAAATGTACAGAAGCAATTACGGAGAATCTGCAAGTGTTCAACTCTAATACAATTACAGTAGATACATTAGTTAATGCACCAAATAGTGCAGATACATTATTAATTCAGCACACAGACTAAATTCGAGATGAGTTTAATATAAGGAAAATGGGTTGAGATGTGTGCTGGCATGAACCTGCTGAGGTCACTGGTAACTCAGGTCATGACCCTGGCGAGGTCAGCGGTGCACAGCTGAGAGAACACCACGAGTGCAGCGGGGTGGAAACTGCACGAAATTGCCACTTGCTAGAACATGAAATCACTAAAAGATATTTCTCTCTCATCCTATTACTTATCACAATTTCTGTATGTCCATCTGAGTTGTGATACAGCGCACCTACAGATAACAATAAATATGAGGGAAAATATGTTACTGTTTTACTTTTGTGATCAATTTTGGCAGTGTACATTGTGTGCAAGTCAGTATGGCGGTACAACAGCGTCTCTCTCTTCTCTCTCTTATAGATCATTAAAGTTTTTCTTCGTTTTATTCTTTCTGAAAATATCATCCTTAGATTTAAGTTGTTTACTCAAGTACAGTTTTATATTTTCTTACTTTATCTTTCCTCTTTTACTCCATTCTTTGTTTACTTTATGATATTTTGAGCCCGCCTCCTCCATAATTAAGTTTTATACCCGGCCTTTGTTATTTTCCTTCTTCTTAATAGTATACTAACATATAATTTGTTTATCTTGTACAGCAGGTGCATCTATTTTTACCTTTAACATTACCTTGTGTTATTCCAGTATTAACTTTGTTCAAGAGATAATATTTCTTAACCACTACTTCTCTCTCTCTCCTATTATCCTTAGCTGCCTACGTATTATCTTTTATCTTAGTCCTTTTCATATTCCTGTTATCATTTTTAAATCTAATTTGTTCTCTATTCCACTATATTTATTTTCCTACTTTCATATTTTCTATTTTCCTTTAGCTTGTTTTATGTTCCTGTATTCAAGCGTGCAATTTGACGCTATTTTTTTTTTTACGTTAATTCAGTTCTTCACCTTAAGTTAACCAGTTCGGTACATTCTCACATCCTCAGTTAAGAGGAATTATTCATCGCGCGAACCTTTGACAATCCCGCCCCAGTGTGTGTTTAAAGAACGTTCACCATGCATTAATTTCTGCACTAGACAACAACTTTTACAAACAAAACAGAAATATATAAGATTTATTCTTTCTATAATATCTACTTTCTTTGTTCAATTGATATTATTCATTGAGTTCGTAACCTCTGCCCCTGCTTTATCTTACGGATACCCGCTATGTAGGGCCAGTGCTCCCTCAGAGTATTGCCTTTGACCAATAAATTGCAAAGAACAGAGAACAGGGATATACCAAGGCGTTCATTGTTCTAGGAACTGGATAGAACACAAGAACAAAACAACATAAGGCGTGCATTGTTCTGGTTAAGAGGGAGTAGGAGTGGCGCCCCAGTACAAGGGAGTGGGAGTGGCGCCCCAGTACAAGGGAGTGGGAGTGGCGCCCCAGTACAAGGGAGTGGGAGTGGCGCCCCAGTACAAGGGAGTGGGAGTGGCGCCCCAGTACAAGGGAGTGGGAGTGGCGCCCCAGTACAAGGGAGTGGGAGTGGCGCGTCCCAGTACAAGGGAG